GGTTTAGAGTTGTATACTAAATTTTTATTTGTTTTGACCACACTTGGTCCAACAGCACATTGTTTGAGATACATATATTTTCAAATTGATAGGGTGTCATTTGAAAATCAGTTTTTTTATGACTTTGATGAAATTGATGCATTATACAACCAACTTTGAACTGTCTAGATTCTAGATTGAAACTAGTGTTAAGAATATTGTGTAAACATGGATTGTTTTTATGTCTAAACAGTAGCGTGAGGCTAACACTTGGCCATTTAGTGGTTTAGTCAGGTATTTTTCGCCATCCAACTTAGAATTAAAGTTTCCTACAACTTGGATTATTACTGACAGCACAGAATATCCCGTGATAAAACCTAAAGCTCCTAGAGCTCAGGCAACCTTTTCATCATATAAAAACAGAAACACTGAAAATACTTGTATGTTCGACACCTGGTGGATTAGTCAACTATGTCTCTAATGCATATGTTGGTTGTACCAGTGACTGTGAAATAGTTGAAAGATGTAGAATAGTTCAATTATGTGATCTAGGTGACAGTGTGATGGCAGACAAAGGTTTAAATGTGCAAGATTTGTTTGCTCACTTTTTTCAAAAAAAGAAACAGAATTAGTTCCAAAACTCTTATACGGGATAGAAAAGTCTCCAATTAACACGTGCACATAGAGCTAATTATTGGACTTGGCAAAACATACAAAATTCTAATAAATCCTATGAATGGAACTGAAACAAAACTTTCATCTGAAATAACATTTAGTTGTTTTATGTTGTGTAATTTTAGAACTTGTATTGTGCCAAAGGATGCATAAATAAAAGTGACGCAATGAAGTTTGTTCTGATATATATATATAAATATTATTTACAATTACATGCACATGTAAATTGTAATGCATATAAAAATAAGGAGATGTGGTATGATATTCAGTGAGTTTATCGAACCAAAGTGCATAAGAAATGAGTTAAGCAGTTACAGGTGTTACTGTCACCATACAATCTCCAACAATTAGAAAAACTTGTACCGTGTAAATAATTTCAGAGATCTTACAACTAAGTTTTGTTGTCTCACCTTGACTTTGGTGAATTGTTTATATCTGTTGATGTAAATATAAAAAAGAAGATGTGGTATGATTGCCAATGAGACAACTCTCCACAAGAGACCAAATGACACAGAAATTAACAGCTATAGGTCACAGTACGGCCTTCAACAATGAGCAAAGCACATACCGCACAGTGAGCTATAAAAGGCCCCGAAATGACAATGTAAAACAATTCAAACAAGAAAACTAACGGCCTAATTTATGTACAAAAAATGAACGAATAACAAATATGCAACACATAAACAAACGACAACCACTGAATTACAGGCTCCTGACTTGGGACAGGCACATACATGTACATACAGAATGTGGCGGGGTTAAACATGTTCGCGGGATCCCAACCCACCCCCTAACCTGGGACAGTGGTTTAACAGTACAATATAAGAACGAACTATAAAAATCAGTTGAAAGAGGCTTAACTCATCAGATGGATAAATACAAATACAAGTGGACGTGGCCGGGTAGTTGTACATCCAAACAACAAAAAGACACTAAGTACAGATCTGAGAGTACTCGCATTTACTGACAGCTAGTTCAAAGCCACAATTAACTGATAAAAAAATCTTGCATCTAAGACTAAATTATCAATCCGTAAGCTCCCTTTAGAATTTTATAAATTTTAGATTTTACATTATTGAGTTATGGGGTTTTATTTATTAAAAAGGGGGGGATTTTCCAGTTTTTGGACAACAACTCAAAAATGCTTTAAGCAGTTCGCATGAAACTTTGGTGAATTATTTATAGCTATTGATGTAATCTCCCTATTGATTTTCATAAATTTCAAATATGACATTGAGAAGAAATTGAACTTTATTTGTTTATAGTCTGGCAACAGATTTATTAAGTATTGCGCAACAGCACAGTGTATTGCACAACAGCAAGAAATCTTGAACTGAATATAAATTCAATTCATATAACCGATTTCAAGTTCTTTGACTACATTTATTCAGAAACTATAATATGTCAAATATTTAATTACAATCCAAATTCAGACCTGTATCAAGCTTGAATATTGTGTCCATTTTTGCCTCAACTGTTCAGGGTTGGACCTCTGTGGGTGTATCCAGCTGCGCTCAGCGAATCAGTTTATTACTTAATTAAGAACTCCTTTTTGTCGAGCCTGCGACTTTTGTCGCAGAAAGCTCGACATAGGGATAGTGATCCGGCGGCGGCGTTAGCTAACTTCTTAAAAGCTTTATATTTTAGAAGGTGGAAGGTCTGGATGCTTCATACTTTGTATATGGATGCCTCATGTTACGAAGTTTCCGTCAGTCACATGTCCAATGTCCTTGACCTCATTTTCATGGTTCAGTGACTACTTGAAAAAAAAAAAGATTTTTTGTAATGTTGAATTCTCTCTTATTATAAGTAATAGAATAACTATATTTGGTATGTGCTTACCTTGCAAGGTCCTCATGCCCGTCAGACAGTTTTCACTTGACCTCGACCTCATTTCATGGATCAGTGAACAAGGTTAAGTTTTGGTGGTCAAGTCCATATCTCAGATACTATAAGCAATAGGTCTAGTATATTCGGTGTATGGAAGGACTGTAAGGTGTACATGTCCAACTGGCAGGTGTCATCTGATCTTGACCTCATTTTCATGGTTCAGTGGTTATAGTTAAGTTTTTGTGTTTTGGTCTGTTTCTTATACTGTATGCAATAGGTCTACTATATTTGGTGTATGGAATGATTGTAAGGTGTACATGTCTAGCTGGCAGGTGTCATCTGACCTTGACCTCATTTTCACGGTTCAGTGGTCAAAGTTAAGTTTTTGAGTTTTGTCTTTTTTTCTAATACTATATGCAATAGTTCAACTATATTTGGTGTATGGAAATATTTTATGATCTATATGTCAGTCACGCAGGTTTTTTTTTACCTTGACCTCATTTTCAAGGTTCATTGCTCAGTTTTAAGTTTTTGTGTTTTGGTCTGTTTTTCTTAAACTATAATCAATAGGTCAACTATATTTGTTGTATGGAAGAATTGTTAGCTGTACATGCCTGCCTAGCATGGTTCATCTGACCTTGACCTCATTTTCTTGGTTCATTGGTCAATGTTTAGTTTACTTGGTTAATGTTAAGTTTATGTGACAGTTGTAATAAAGCTTTATATTTAGGACTATCAACATAATATCAATGATTAGTAAAGAAGGCGAGACATTTCAGCGTGTGCACTCTTGTTTCATTCATAAATTACTTTATACTTGGAAATATAATTTTGCTTGGAGTTATAGTTTCTAAAAAAAGTATTGTCATTGAAAGAGTTGACATGTTGCAATGTACATTTATTCTACATAGTTCTATGGTACCAAATCAAAAGTTTATATTAAAGAAAGAAGTCAAAGGTTTCCCATCATAGTTTAGTTACATACATTTTTTTTGTACCTGAGGTCGTTGAATATAGATCATTATATAAATAAGGAGATGTGTTATGATTGCCAATGAAACAACTATCATCCATACATTGTACTTACCAGTAACAAGCCACATTTGCAAAGTTGAATAAAATACAGTTGATAACATTTACTTATTACTTAAAAGAAAATGCCAAACTATTTTAAACAGTATTTGACTATAAACATAGATAAAAAAGGTACTAACTGGACATAATGCACTAGTTCATAAACAAGTGAGAACAATCGCCTTCATATAGTGCTCAGAATATGACATTCATAAAACTTGTTCAATATCATTAGAGAACTCTAAATCTTAAATACTGAAAGCCACCTCTGATACGTACAATGTACTATGCAAGATAATGATATAACTGGACTAAAAATACACACATACTGTAATTAACTGCCTTTACAGCGCTTTCGCGCTTTGATTATCTGTTGTAGTAAGATAATTTGAGACTACTGTCTGTGATAGCACTCTTTTTGACCTGTTGTAGTAAGATAATTTGAGACTACTGTCTGTGATAGCACTCTTTTTATCTGTTGTAGTAAGATAATTTGAGACTACTGTCTGTGATAGCACTCTTTTTGACCTGTTGTAGTAAGATAATTTGAGACTACTGTCTGTGATAGCACTCTTTTTGACCTGTTGTAGTAAGATAATTTGAGACTACTGTCTGTGATAGCACTCTTTTTGACCTGTTGTAGTAAGATAATTTGAGACTACTGTCTGTGATAGCACTATTTTTGATATGTAGTAGTAAGATAATTTGAGACTACTATCTGTGATAGCACTCTTTTTGACCTGTAGTAGTAAGATAATTTGAGACTACTGTCTGTGATAGCACTATTTTTGACCTGTAGTAGTAAGATAATTTAAGACTGTCTGTGATAGCACTCTTTTTGACCTGTTGTAGTAAGATAATTTAAGACTACTGTCTGTGATAGCACTCTTTTTGACCTGTTGTAGTAAGATAATTTGAGACTACTGTCTGTGATAGCACTCTTTTTGACCTGTTGTAGTAAGATACTTTGAGACTTCTGTCTGTGATAGCACTCTTTTTGACCTGTTGTTGTAAGATAATTTGAGACTACTGTCTGTGATAGCACTCTTTTTGACCTGTTGTAGTAAGATAATTTGAGACTACTGTCTGTGATAGCACTCTTTTTGACCTGTTGTAGTAAGATAATTTGAGACTACTGTCTGTGATAGCACTATTTTTGATCTGTAGTAGTAAGATAATTTGAGACTACTGTCTGTGATAACACTCTTTTTGACCTGTTGTAGTAAGATAATTTGAGACTACTGTCTGTGATAGCACTCTTTTTGATCTGTAGAAGTAAGATATTTTGGAGACCAATGTCTTTTGTTATAACACCCTTTTGCTCTCTAGTAGTAAGATAAGTTGAGATTGATGTCTGTGATAGCACTCTTTTTATCTGTAGCAGTAAGACAATTTGAGACTTACATGTATGTCTGTCCTAACACCCTTTTGTTTTATTTCAGTAACACATATAGTAACATCCTGTAATAAAGATGGAATGTGTGCCAGAACATTCAAATACATGCATGGTGTTGTTAATGGGAAATGGATTGTCAATTTTGAATGTATGTACATGTATATAATTACTAATTACATCTCCCACTCCAAAATGAGGGGGTAACTATTTTACCCCTATGTTCGTCCATCTTGTGAAATTTCCATCTCATTCTTCTCAAAAACTTCAAATTATATCTTCCTGAAATTTAAAACAGGCTTTATGTGAGCATACTAGACTGTGTGATGCATTTTCAGATTCAACACATTTCAACTGCTTATTAATGGAATACCCTAATTTTCTAACACATAATGGCTTGTATGAAATTCTTGTTGCATTTTGTTAGGAAACTAAAATTAATAAGAGCTTCCTTGCAAAATGAGAAAAAAAAACATTTCAATGGAAAAGTAATTTATTGTGTTACATTAAACCAGCATTAATAGATTTGTGCATGTATCCCTTATTATCTGTAAGTGTTGCAGAGACTGTAAAGTTCTTCATGTTTTAGCCAGTTATAAATGAATCAGATCTATGAAAGAATTGCTTATCCTTCAAAAGAGCAATGAGGGACACCTTTGTTTAAGAAAAAAAGAAAAGTCTTCATAAAGTAAGAATTTAAATTTAAAAAAATCCTCAATTGAACATGTTCAAAATAAAACAACATCTTTTATTGATTGAAACGAGGCAAATTACCAGACATGCCAATATCAACTACAGAACTACGTTTCCTCACTGAAACTGAACATTTAATCCCAACATTCACTGAAAATGTCTTGTAGTTTCTGATGACTTTATCGAAAAGTACACCAAATGTGTGCGTAGTTTGCATAATCAGTATGTTGTAGGATGTCAGTGCTTTGAACTTTGTCAAACAAAAGCAACATTTTTGATAAAACTCATCATTTTAAGTCAAATCTGTATTTTATCAACTCAAATTATTCATGTCAATACAAACTGGAAAAGTTCTGATAAGGCTAACATCTGGAAATGTGCAAGGCAAATAAAAATGTTGAATGAAATTTAAAAAAAAGATCATTTCAAGAAAATATGATAATCCCACTCCTAAGAGTGGGGGCTATATTGCATTCACCCTGTCTGTCAGTTCATCCAAAAATAATTTTGTTACACTTTTTCGTAGATACTATATTGAACAGAATGACTTCATATATGATCATCAGCTTGACAGTGATGAGTTGTGAACGATGAATACTTTTCAGATCTGTCTGACACCTTCCTGTTTCCCATACTTTGATGAATGAGGTTGTCTAACTTAGCAGGACAACACAAGCATCTTCTTGTTGTTTTCAAAGAAGTTTGCAGTACTGATGGCAAGCTCATAGTAAAGGAGTAGGGGCATTAAGGCCCAGTTTTGGCCCAAGAAAATAAAATGTTTGACAACTATTTCAAATTGGCACATAATGTTTGGAAATGCATAGAGTGAAGAAATATAAATGAAAAACATAAGATCTTTTATATGATGACGTCACAGTTACGTCATAATATGTACTGTTTTCATGAAAAAGATGAAAAATGCAGAATTTGTGCAATTTTCCATTGTTATTTCCATTACGGAAACATCGTGCGCAGCCAAAAAACAACAAAATAATTGAAGAGAAGCTTTATTATAACTATTGAAATAATCTCACGGAATATAAAGTTGTTTCTTGGGTGCGCACATACTTTGCCAATCTTAAATATACTTAGAATTTGATGAAAAACAAGGAAATTCAAGAAATTTTATAAAACATACAAATTTCGTCATGGTTTGTTGCCATGGTAGCTCGTTTAATGTGAAATTTGTTTTTATTTTCTGAAAACCTTGTACCTTAGTCTAGTTAGGACAAATTTAAGGATATGTATGATAACTTTTAAATTTGCAGTAATTTTGGGGCCAAATAAGGGGCTTATTGCCCCTTCTCCTTTGTAGATACTGAAATTAGCTGAAACTAAAATTTTACTTTCACAAAGTTATAGGCAGATTTTATACTTTCTATATGATTTATACAGCAATGACATAAATAGTGGTAAAAGGTAGTGTTTTGTGTAATGATAAAAAAACAGAATTCCAATACCATAGGAAAAAAACATTTTAATCGTAGTTCACACTGTTAATCATTATAAATCCTTGATAAACAAGCGGCAATGAGTTAATACAACAGTATAATTGTAAACCAGGCTTGATATCAATAAACTTGTCTATTAAGACAAAGAAAGATTTAAATGACCATTCTTCTTCCTGTTTGCCTTTTAGATAACATTATATTTCTAACTTTTTTTAATAGAATTTAATCAAAAATTTTGACTCATTTATGATATCTGTATCCATTTTATACCCCTTCTCTAAATTATGCTATCAAAATTACATTTTGGTGAGACATATCTCTATATCAGCGGTTAATTAAAACTTCCTAGCATTTTTATCTCTTAGATTTAAAGTAAAATTACGCTGTGAGAAATTTTACTTAAACCTATGCTTGTTTCATGTGGCATGTTCATGATGTTAGAAGAGAAGATATCAGTTTATATCTTTATGATTTGTTCTTATTTTTATAGGGGTGAACATGTGTTTGGAATTTTGCCATAAAGTCTGTGAAGAAGCATTTGAGATTCCTGGTTCAAGTCAAAATATTGAATCTCATGCAGCAGAGAAAGGCAGGATCAACAGGAAAAATCAGGTGACTTATCTATATGGGTTTTTATGGTAAACCTGCCAGAAATTTAAAGCTATGTACAAATGTTTGGGGTCTGTGTACAAAAGAGAAAAGAATGTATTTTTTTCCAAATTGCATATGAAATGTTTCAACCTCCTTTATCATAATGACCTACATTTTTGGTGAGATGCAGCAATATTATTTGGTGTGCAGGTACATCTTTGAGAGACAAACTATATGCCATAAGATAAAGCTCACATGACCAATATTTCTAGTTGCTATAAGTCTTAGGTTGTGAAAGTGGATTGAGGCAAACTGCAAAATTGGGGATATTATGCCTTGTCTTTCTGGACATTTTTTCCTGCTGATTTTCTCTTTAAATCCAAACAAGAAATATTTTTTGTGAAAGATTGGTCTGTATCATTCAAACTTAGATAAAATAGTCCCTGCATCTTACAGAAGCTAAAATCTGTTCTTCCTAAAAATAGAAACTCAGAAAAGATAAAATAATTAATATTTTTTGTCTCGCCTCGATGAAAGTAAAAAAATGCTAGACATAAGGATTACTATTTGGTGGTGTCTATATTTTGTGTATGGAATGATTTTAAGGTGTACAAGTCTGTTAGGCAGGGTCTATCTGACCTTGACCTCATTTTCATGTTTCAGTGGGCAAAGTTTAGTTTTCATGGTTCGGTTTGTTTCTCGGGTACTATAATACGCAGTAGGTTAACTATCTTTGGTGTATGGAATGATTGCAAGGCATATATATTTGTCTGACAGCATTCATCTGACCTTTAACTCATTTACATGAATCATTGATACTGTTAATTTCATGTAATACTTGTACAATCAAACCTGGGTAAACCAGACCTTGAATAAACTGGTTTCCTGTCCATTCCGGCTGAAAATTGAAGTCCCATTTTTTTCCCTTCAAAGTCTTTGTAAAAATACCCCCTATAAACTGGACCCCGTGTATTCCAAAATCTGGTCTAATTATGCAGTCCCAATACTCTTAATTACATCAATTATTACCTGTCAAACCGGTTTGTTTAATTAATTTAACATGATAACAGTATTGATCGATATGCAATCAAAACACAATTGTTCATACAAGATGGTTTTTCGGGATAATTAATTAGCAAGTGTTAAACCGTGAAGTTACAGTAATGAGCTCTTATCACTGAACAATTCAAACAACACGAGAATTCTGATGCAAATGAAAACAATGAACTCAAAGTGAAAGTGAAATTGACGAGTCAGTGACTGATGCTACCGAGGTCGATTTGACAACCAATTTCTGAAATTTCTAAAGCCAATGAATACAAAGACTCAAAACAATGATCATGTGTAGTTAAATGGTGAAAAGGCAGGGATCACTTGTAATGTTCATGTCACAATATTTTCACACAAATCATGGCAAAACTTTTAATAAATAGATTATTACGGTATTTGTATTTATTAGTTTACAATTTACAATGAGACAGAACTTTTACATGCAAAATATCTGATGTCACAAGTCATTAACTTCATGTCAAAACGGAAACCTAAATAAACCGACCCACTGTCCAAACCAGCCCCTTTTCATAGTCCCATAGCCGGCCGTTTTATACAGGTTTTACTATATAACCTTTTTCACTTAAATATTCAATATAAATTCAACCATGATCAGTAAAGCAGGATGGAAATTTGAGCTTGTTTTTAAGAAAATTGGCAAAAATTTTAAAGGAGTAATTTTCACAAGAGAAAAAAATCCATTTTGCTAAGTTTGTTTCTTTAAGGGAATTGAATTTGTATCATTATGGAAATATAATAAGAAAAATGCATGCACTAGATGAAATCTTAAATGGTACCACAAATTTATTATGTAAATGTTTTGTAACCACTAACATAATGTATAATTTCGTAAAGAGAAAATAACAATGTTTGCCAAAGCTCAGCAGAAATTAATATTTCATGTTGTTTTTCCATCCAAAAACGTTGGATGTTGTTTTTCCATCCAAATACGTTGGATGTTTTTTTTCCATCCAAATACGTTTGATGTTGTTTTTCCATCCAAATACGTTCGATGTTGTTTTTCCATCCAAATACGTTGGATGTTGTTTTTCCATCCAAATATGTTGGATATTGTTTTGATTGTCATATTTAAGTGCTGAAATATTCAGATGGCAAATATTTGGAAGTGGATGTACATCTCTGCAGGTCACTACAGTTGTTTTAAACTAATTTATAAGAGAAGGTTACAAAATTTAACAGATTATTTTCTTTGCTTTTTCAGCTACCAAAGTTATTTGATGGTTACCAGTTTTACTGCTATGGGAATTTTGAATATCCAACTCCTCACAAGGAAGACTTGATAGAACTTGTTAAATCTGGTGGAGGTCAGATTCTCACAAGGGAGCCAAAGCTTGACCACATACCTGAAATACCAAATGTGCCGTATCATGCACCAAATAGTGGACCTTTATCAAAGTGCTACATTTTTGTTGTCCATGACAACAACGCACATACTGAGCCAATAAGGAAGGATAAAATATGTTCTGTTTCTGTGGCCTGGATATTGGACTGTATTGGATTGTTTCAGATAAAACAAAATGTGGAAATTTAAATCATCTTCAAAACAATTGTAGATTGGTGTTACTTGCAATGACATATATATACTTACCCTCAATGAACTGAATAATTCATATCTTTTACATAAATGCCTTTAAGTCTGAAAATAACTTGCTTGACCTAATTTTAATGGTTCATTGAATCAAAAAGGATGTTATAATTAGGATGTCATATCAAGGTTGCGGAGCCCTATAATTTTCACTTTGTCAGGTTTTCCAACTGTCTGTCCATCAACAAGTACGGTGAGCAAAGTCTAAAGTATGGATAGGACACAGATACAATTGTGTACAGCTGATATGAAATATATGTAGACATTATAAGATTTCAGAAAAAAACATAGATATATGTAAATTATGTTATTCCACTTTGATTCAAGGTGCCTTAAGATTTATCCATCAACTGCCATTTTCAAAATGGCTGAAACAAATATGATAGTCTTAGATATATGATTTCTTTTACTAGTTGTTATTGGCTTTTAACTAGCTGTCAGTAACTGCGAGTACCCTCAGATCTGTACTTTGTATCTTTTTTTATGTTAGGAATGTATAAACATGATAAATACCCTGTCAAGTCCAGTCTGTGTTTTTGTTAGATGTTTTTCTGCTTTTTATCGATCTGATATATGAACTGATTTTTGATTCAGCCATGCAGGATCTATATGATCACTCCAGATTTTGAGATGTTGCAGAAATCTAAGTTGTAGACATATCATGAAGCTAACTATGTGATTTTATGACTTGCAGAAACTTTATACACCATTTTGATCATCAACTGCCAACTTTTGACATGTTATTTGCCCTTAAATTAAGAAAATATTGGTCGAACAGCTACTTTATTGTCTCGCCTTGACGGAGGTCTAGTTTTTGGTGAACCACAAGTGGTAGGTCAATCATATTTGGTATGCAGTTGTATTAGCATTGGCACATCTCATTTCCATGGAGATTATTTGGCCCTGCCCCCTCAGTCATGGTCTATTGACTTTGAAACTTTTGCTTATTTTACATGTATTAGTTTGTGATTAGGTCAGTTTATGGGGAACCACTAGTGGTAGGTCAATGATATTTGTTATGCAGTTGTATAAGCATTGGCATATATCATTTCCATGGAGATTATTTGGCTCCGCCCCCTTAGTCATAGTCTATTGATTTTGAAAATTTTGCTAAGTTAACATGTATTAGTTTGTGATTAGGTCAGTTCCAAGGGGAACCATTTAGGGTAGGCAAATGTTAATTGGTATTCAGTTGTATAAGCATTAGCACATCTCATTACCATGGAGAATATTTGGCCCCGCCCCCTCAGTCATGGTCTATCGACTTAGAAACTTTTGCTTAGTTTACATGTATTAGTTTGTGATTAGATCAGTTTAAGATGAACTGCTAATGTTAAGTCAATGATATTTGGTATGCTTATTTATGGGCATTTGCAAGTATCGTTTCCATGGAGATTATATAGCCCACCCCTGATCATGGTTCATTGACTTTGAAACTTTTACATAGTATACAAGTTAATGTTTGTGTTTAGGTTTGTTTAAAGGGAACGACTTATAATAAGTCGATGGTATTTGGTATGCAGTTGTATTAGCATTGGCACATCTCATTCCATGGAGATTGTTTAGCCATGTACCTTCAGTCATGGTTCATCGACTTTGAATATTTGCATAACTTACATGTTAAAGTATTGCTATTTTAATTTCAACATTTGCATTATCAAAATTACAAAAAGACGAGACATATCTCGGTGATAACAGTTTATATATAAAAAAGACAGCAATATTCTAACAGGAAACTGATTAGTTGAATATCGTTTTGATATTCGATACTCGGTACTACTAAGCAATACTCGAATACTCGAGTACTCGTTGACATCCCTAATAAATACATTAGAATTCAATGAAAAATATATATGCTTTTTTTTTTAAGTACTTTAGAACTAGGGATAGGCACATACATATATATGCTAAAGTAAGGAATGTTTGTAGTTTGGTCAATTTTCCTTTTAGTTGTTTACCAATATGTCTTTTTTGGATAAATTGGTTTGAAACTAAAGTGTTAAAATTTTTTCCACGTTAGAAGATAATAATATTGTTGGATGTCTCATCAGCTTTAGTTTAGACTTTATTCTAGATACATAGAGCTTTTGAGATTCAGTCTCTACATAATTATCTTCATAAGACTTTATGGGTTTATCAACGGAGTTCTAATCATTACCTTACCTTGAATTTTATCCACATTACCAGTTACATTATGACCACAGGGATAATATACATATATAGTTTTTACCACTGCATCGAGTGGAAAAAATATAGTATTGCATGATATTTGGTGGTAGAATCTGTTTCTCTAATGATTTTTAGACAATATGCAGACAAATTTAATCCATCTTTTCAAATGATCTGCAAAAAGATGTGTTCTTTCTATGTAACGTCATCGGGCATGAATTTTGAGCAATGAAGAACCGAGATCAAATGAACCCCACTTTGATTGAATAAAAATAATCAACAGGTCAGGAAAATTATAAATATTAAGAATTAGAGAAATATGTTTGAACAGTTGCATCTTTTCTGGAGAATGATCATCAGTATTGACTTCTAAGCAGTTTTATAATGACTTTTTGATATCAGCTTAAAATTTGTACATGCATGGATGTAAATAGGTTTTTGTCTTGCCTGCAAATGAGAGACTTAGGGATGCTCAACCAGCAGCAACAACATAAACTATTTGTATAAAGCTTAATTTTTCAGAAGGTAGAAGATACTTCAAACCTTGTATACAGTTACCTTATGTTCTGAAGTTTCGATCTGTCATATGTCCATTGTCTTAAAACTTAATTTCATGGTTCTGAGTTGGGTATAGTTCATCTGGCATTTGCCTCATTTTCATGGTTTATTAATCAATGTTGAGTTTGTGGCTAGGTTGTGTTCTCATACTATAAGCAATAGGTCAACTAACTATATTTGGCTTTTTGGAATGATTATTGGGTGCACTTGTCTGTCTGGTAGGTTTCATCTGACCTTGACCTCATTTTCATGGTTCATTGGTCAATGTTAAGTTTTTTGTGATTATGTTTATTTCTTACATACTTTACGCCATACAACTATATATTGATGTATGTATGATGGTTAGTTGTACATGTCTACCTGGTAAGGTTTAATTCTTTATTTATTTAAAGAGGATTGCCAACAGCCAGAGGCTACGTGTGGGTCTCCTCAACATAGATCTATGCAGATTCACAACAAAATTTGTTTAGTTTACAAACATGTTTAACACAAGACAAGACAATATGTACAGGACAAGACATACAAATGTAATTTGACTACACACCCATCCAATCACTCACTCATTCTTACTCACATGTACACGACTTTACAATCATGTTGAAATCAGTAATATAAAACAATAATTATAGAAAGACGATTTTGAGTACACTCAGGTCAAATGAAAAAAAAAAAAGAATATAAGTGTATGTATGTGTTTCATACATTAAATGTTTTATTACAGGGAAACAGATAGTACAAATAAGTTATTGATCTATCGAGAAAACTTGTTTGAAGATTTAATATATCGAAACACACTCAAACAGCTCTAAATTAGTATCTTCAGACAAATCGTCACTACCTTCTATTAAAATTTTGCTCAGATAGTTAGGACATAGATCCCGCAACATTTCTATATTTATATCTGGACAAATCAGATTCTTAATACCAAGAAGAAGAGTAATCCGATAGTTCGTGTAATGGACGCAATGAATTAAATAGTGCTTAGTGCTTTCAATACAGTTACCTTGGCAGAAATCGCAAAACCTATTTAATGTAAGATTATATTTGTACAAGTGGTCATTAAGGGCACTAAGCTCTAAGCATAATCTAGTATGAATCTTTGTGAACCTCGTGAATATATTTTTTTACTACACGAATTGAGATTCTTCTTACAACCTTTTGAAACACGCCAAAGATGTTGCTGAAATTAGTTCAGCTGACAAGCTATTCCAGTCTCTAATCATAGCTAGAAGAAAAGAATTATAGTATACTACTGTTCTTGACCTGATAGGTATCAAGTTGGCATGTCGTCTTAAGTTATAGTTTTCGGTGTTATGACGGAATAATGGATGAAAATTACAGAGATAATCTGGGACAAGATGATTTTTAATTTTGTACAGATATGTAAGTCTATGAACTTTACGGCGTGTTTTAAGAAGCTCAAGGCCAACCTCTTTCAATAAAGTGACATGTTTTGTAACCCTGATTGCCCCAGTAGATATAATGCAGGCACGTCTCTGTACATGTTCAATGTTTGCAGAATCAACACTAGAGCAGTTATCGTAGATGACATCTGCATAGTCTAGCAATGAACGAACAAATGTTTTATATAACTTCAATGCATAATCTAGGTAATAAATGTCGCATCCTCAAGATAGTGTTCAGTTTACTGTGACATTTCTTACAAATATCAGCAATATGATCGGTCCAAGAAAGTTTATCGTTCAAAATAAGACCTAAATGTTTATGGTGTGTAACTCTCTTTATATTTACATTATTTAAGATCAATGGAGGGTAATGGTGTATATTCTTCTTCTTAGAAATAATAAGATACTCCGTTTTTTCTGATTGGAAGTTACACACCATTGATGGGACCGTGTGTTCAACGTGTCGAGGTCACTGTTCAGAGTTTGAAAAAAATCAGAAATATCATCAATTTGTTGGACAAGGGAAGTATCATCAGCAAACAGTTTAATATTGCTAATAATTCCATCTTTAATATCATTAACATAGATAAGAAAAAGCAGAGGACCGAGTAAAGAGCCCTGGGGTACACCAAGCATAAGTGTTTTGACTCGATGATGTCTGACCATTAATAACGACTTTGAGTACGACCTGAAGGGTAATTCTCTATAAGAAACAAAAGTGAACCACATATGCCAAATTGTTTAAGTTTGAAAATCAGACCTTTGTGCCAAACTTTATCAAAGGCCTTAGACTCGTATAAAAAGATTGTACATACATCTTTACCGTTTATATCTAATGACTTATAAATTTCATGAGTAATAGTAATTAGTTGATTCACTGTTGAATCGTTTTTCTTAAAGCCGGAATTATCAGTGATAAGTAAATCATGAAATTCACAGAACTCATAGCCTTGTAGATGATTTTCTCAAGGATCTTGGACACTGATGTTAGTAGAGCAATTGGTCGATAATTAGACATCATATTTTTATCGCCTTTATTTTTGTACACTGGGCACACATTAGATACTTTCCAGAGAGATGGATCTACTCATCTGACCTTGACCTCAGTTTCATTGTTCATTTGTCAACGTTAAGTTTTCATGGTTAGGTCTGTTTCTTAGATACTTTAAGCAATAAGTCAACTATATTTGGTGTATGGAATGGTTGTACGGTGTTGATGTTTGTTTTGTAGGATGACGTGGACCTCATTTTCATGGTTCATTGGTAATTTTCGTGGTTCGGTCTGTTCTCCAGCACTATAAGCAATAGGTCAACAACTATATTTGCTTAATGGAATGATTCTTCAGTGTACATAACAGCACATCGGTCCTTGATATATATATATATCTCTGTATAAATAATTATATGAGGAAAATAAATGCAATTACATTTTAAACTTGAAAACCAGCCTTGATAT